CTGGCAACGGTACTAGTCAGCCCACCAAATCGCAACGTTTAGAGTAGTGAATATCCGTGATTTACCATATCGCCGCCCGCCGCCCCGTTCATCCTGAGCTGTCGAAGGCACCCTCTCCATTGATGGGGAGGGTGGAGCCTGCCCCGTAATTGATAGGGGGGTGAGGTGGCCCCCGCGCATTTTCACTTTCCCGGCCGCCCTTTCATTCTACCTGTCGAGGAAAAAGGACACGCTCAGCCGAACGGGATAGTTTTGCCTATTACTTACCTCCACCCTCTAGGAGACGGTGAAAAATGCCCCGCAAGAAGATTGTCTGGCCTATTCCGGCGGACTCGACACCTCGGTGGCCGTGCCCTGGCTCAAGGAGAATTACGACGCCGAGATCATCACCTGCACCATCGACCTCGGCATGGTGGACCTGGAAACCATCCGCCAGCGGGCCTATGCCGTCGGCGCCTCCGAGGCCGTTACCGTCGACGGACGCGAGACGCTGGTCAGCGAGTTCCTGTGGCCCGCGCTTCGGGCCGGCGCCATCTACGAGGGTCAGTATCCCCTGGCCACCGCCCTGGGCCGCCCCCTCATCGCCCGCTACCTCGCCGAGGTTGCCGAGGACACGGCGCCCAGGCCATCGCCCACGGCTGCACCGGCAAGGGCAACGACCAGGTTCGCATCGAAGTCGGCGTGGCCGCTCTCACCCAGGGCGTCGAGGTCATCGCGCCCATCCGCGAGTGGGGCATGAACCGCGAGGACGAGGTGGAGTACGCTCGCGAGCGCAACCTGCCCATCGCCCCGTCCAACAACAAGTACAGCACCGATGAGAATCTGTGGGGCCGCAGCGCCGAGGCCGGCGAGCTGGAAGACCCCTTGAACGAACCGCCCGAGGACGCCTACGAGTGGACGGCCAACCCCAACGCCGCCCCCGACGAGCCGGCCTACGTGGAAATTCACTTCGACGAGGGGATACCCACCGCCGTTGACGGCGAGAACATGGCCGGCGTCGACCTGATTACCCATCTGAACCACCTGGCCGGAGCCCACGGCGTCGGTCGCATCGACCACGTGGAAAACCGGCTGGTGGGCATCAAATCGCGTGAGGTGTACGAATCGCCGGCCGCCGTCGCCCTGCACGCTGCCCACCGTGGCCTGGAGACCATGACGCTGTCCCGTGAGCAGACCCGCTTCAAGGAGCGCGTTGCCCAGGAGTACGCCGAACTGGTGTACAACGGACTGTGGTTCACCGCCCACCGCCGCGACCTCGACGCCTACGTCGCATCCACCCAGCGCCACGTCACCGGCGAGGTGCGCATCCGGTTGCACAAGGGTACGTGCGTAGTCGCCGGCCGCCGCGCCGACCGCCCGCTGTACAACTACGGCCTCGCCACCTACGACCGCGCCGACGAGTTCGACCACACCGCCGCCAAGGGCTTCATCGACATCTACGGCCTGCCCGTCCGCACCCAGAACCGCCAGCAGGGGTAGCGGGACTACCGGATTGGTAACGGGCGGATCCGAACCCGATTGTCTTCCACGGTAGCCACGATACCGCTGCTGATTTCGCTTTCCAACTGAACGAGAACGGTTGGGAGAACTCGGTTCACGTTGCCCACGCGCGAATCTGACAACCGCAGTGTAATCAACGATGGCCCCTGCGCTCCGGACAGGGCAATGATGTTCGAGAAGTCCAGGTCCTGAGTTAGCACAACGCGCCCATCGTCCGCAGCTCGCTCCACAATCTCCCGGTCCGCTGCATTACTACGCATAATCTCGCCGACGCGAACCACATCGTGCCCCAATTCATTCAAGTGCCGAACGGTCATTGGGGAGATGTGCACATCTGCCAACAGCCTCATGTAGCCACCTTAATGCTGATGCAGTGCAAGACCGGCCCACGGGTCACGCGTACCAACTTTAATCTGTCATTGCGAGGAGCAATAGCGACGTGGCAATCCCCCGCTGGTCCTGAGCCCGTCGAAGGGCCGGCCCCACCGGGCCGTTCGTCCTGAGCTTGTCGAAGGATCGTCTACGTGTTTTCAGCCTCATCGAGATTGCCAACCCCCGCATCGAGTACGGGCTCGCAATGACAACGCGGGTACGCATGCGGCTCACAGTCGGCCCCGCTAGTTAGGCTTTTCGGACGCGCGCTGCGTCATGCCCAGGTTCAAATCCGCTTCTGGTGCGGGCGCTGGCGTACGGGCTCAACCCACGCTGAGGGTTCTTTCGCTGGCGAGCCAAGCTCCGTATGCGGCGCATTGACGGACGTCGGCGTCATCGAGTTCCGGGTACGCTTGGACAATGTCCACCGTTGTGTACCCGTTGCCCATGAGCTTAAGCACGAATTCAACCGTAATCCGCTTCCCGCGCACGGTAGCTTTTCCCATGCAAATACCTGGGTCGGTTGTTATTCGGTCTAGGTCCGCCATCAGGTTCACCCGACTTACTGGTCACACGTTCCCTAACGCCGTATCCAGCCGGCCAATGCCCTCGTCGATCTCCGCCTCGGTAATGTTCAGCGCGGGCATGATGCGCACCGCGTTGGGTCGCACACCGTTCAGCAGCACACCGGCGGCCTCGGCGGCGTCCATAACCTGCGGCATGATGTCGCTGTCAAACGCCACGGCGGCCAGCAGTCCCTTGCAGCGGATTTCGTTGACGAAACCGTACTTGGACTTCAGGCCGTCCAGTCGGTCCTTCAGAACCACTTCCATCTGCTTGACGTGGCCCAGGATGTCGTTGTCAAGCAGATAGCGAGTGCCGGCGGCAGCGGCGGCGGTGGTCAGGGGATTGCCTCCGAAGGTGCTGCCGTGATCGCCGTAGGTCAGCGCCATCGCGTCTTCCTTGGCCAGAAACGCGCCGATGGGAACGCCGAAGCCCAGCCCCTTGGCCAGAATCATCACGTCCGGCTCGACGTTGAATTCCTCATAACCGAACAGACTTCCCAGGCGACCCATGCCGGTCTGAACCTCGTCCAGGATCAGCAGGATGTTGTTCTGGTCGCACCAGGCCCGCAGCCGTTGGAAATAGTCATCGTCGGGAATGTTCACTCCGCCCTCGCCCTGCACCGGCTCGATCATCACGGCCACGGTGTTTTCGGTGGTGGCGTTCATCACGGCCTCAACGTCGTTGAAATCGACGTAGGTGAAACCCTCGGGTATGGGCTCAAAAAGCTCGTGGTAGTGAGGCTGCCCGGTGGCGGCCACGGCGTTCATTGTGCGCCCGTGGAAAGAGTTCAGCGCGGTAATGACCCCGTAGGCTCCGTTCTTGTGCAGCTTCCCGTAGCGACGGGCTATCTTCAGCGCGCCCTCCACGGCCTCGGCGCCGCTATTGCAGAAAAACACCCGATCCATGCAGGAGTTTTCAATCAGCATCTCGGCGATTTCCAGCTGTGGCAGCGTATAAAACTGGTTGGACGTCTGGATGAGCGTGGCGGCCTGCTTCGCGATGGCTTCCACGACCACGGGCGGGCAGTGGCCCAAATTATCCACAGCCCAGCCGGCCACGAAGTCGACATATTCCTTGCCGTCGGCGTCCCACACTCGGGAGCCTTCACCGCGCACGATGACCACCGGGCGTCGCCGGACGGTCTGGGCGTAGTATTTCTGCTCGATGGCGATGTATTCAGCGTTGCTGGGCATTGGACATCTGCTCCCTTCGGTGTGTTACGCGCCGTAGCGCAAACCATATTATACGCCAACCACGCCACCAATCGTCAGTATCAGCGCGCGTCATTGCCGGGAGCGCCGGAACATGGCAATCCCGTCCCGCCTTCTGTCATTGCGATGTTCGCATTTTGGCATTGACCACATTTGTGTTAACATTCAGACGACAAACTCAGTCAATAATTTCATCACGGAGGAATTACGAATGGCGACAATGATTGATGGCGAGTCCTATCTGGGCAAGGTGATGGTACGCCCACTGAGCAAAACCGGCGACGTTACCTTGTACCTCTGGCCCCTGCGGTGCCTCAAGGCCAAATTCGGCGGCCCGACCTTCGGCGTCGACGTAAACGGCGTTGAGATTCTTCGCTTTGACCCGCATGGCGCGCGCGGCCATTGGCACAAGGGTGGCTACGACAAGCTGGGCGCCGGTGGCTCCCACATCGACTTCCCAGAGGACATCATCGAAAGCCAGGCGCAGGTTGCCTGGTCGCTGGAGCAGGTGCGCGAGCAATCCGCCGCGTTGCTGGCCGAGGCCGGCTACGGCGACGCTGCCGCCAACCTCGATGCCGACATGCTCCAGGCCGCCACGGACGCCGTCGTCCAGCACCTCGATGCCACCGGCGACATCATGTCCGAGGCGATTCAGAAAGACCTTATCGCCGCTTAGAGGGCCTCGCCCCTCACCCCAAGCCCCTCTCCCAATGGGAGAGGGGTATTTTTTGGGCTGGCCCTCGCCTGGGGATGGTTTATTACATTTACTATACGAGGTAAAGGTAATGTCGAATCAAATGCTGCCGGGAACCGAATGGGATAGGAACGTCGGTAGTCCGGCATATCCTGTGTCGTTCCTCCACGAATACGCTGTGGGCTTGCTATGGGATGCGTTGCACGGCGACGATGCAGTAGCCGTTAAAACGATCGACGGGAGTACATACGGCAACCTGAAGGAGGGCGTTTACCGTGTGGTGATTCCCGATTCGATGCAGCCCATCGGTGGTTGCATACCCGATTTAGCGTTGCTGGATAAAGACCTGCGGCCAGTGCGGGTGATCGAGGTCGTGGTAACGTCTCCGCCCACGTCGGAGAAAATGGCAAAGCTTGAACAACTGCAAAATCGTGGCGTGGAAGTAGTACAAGTCCCGGTCCGCAATGAGGACGAACTCAAAGCCTTGATCCCTTCCCCGAATGGTGGACTGAAACCGAAATGGGCCTACGCTTGGAACGCGACAATCTTCGATCAAGTGGGCATAACCAATATCCCGCGTCAGCAACAGGTCCGCGGGACACAGCGAGGCGCGGACGGTATGGTCCAAGAACTGATTCACGCCCTGATTGGATGCCAACCCGAGACCCGTCGGCAATTAGTCAAGGTGTTGGAAGAGCTGGACAGCCTGGAATCACGTTACCCGCTGTCGCCCAAAAACCCCAAGCGAATCACACAATCCAACGGCGACGACGATACATAGCTGCCCCAGAAGACAACGCCCCTCTCCCTTGGTAGGAGGGGGGTTTCGTTACGGAGTAATCCGCGTGCCGATGGGGTTGCCGTTCACACAATCCATCAGCGCTCCCTGCTCCCGCCCGTCGATAATGTGAGCGCTGGCCACCGCCCGGTCCGCGATGGCAGCGAGGCACGCATCCAGCTTGGGCAACATCCCACCCCGCGCCACACCTGAGTTGCGCAGCGACACCGCGGTGCTAGCGTTCAATCGCGGAATTACTCTGCCGCCGTTATCCATCACGCCCGTCACGTCGGTCAGAAAAATAACCCGCTCTGCTCCCATAGCGTGAGCCAAAGCGCCGGCGGCCGTATCGCCGTTCACGTTCAAAGGTTGCCCGGCGTGGTCGCTGTTTTCGGTAACGTCCATCGCTATCGGCGAAATCATGGGGATATAACCGGCGGCGACTATAGCGTTCACCGGAGTCGGGTCAACGCGCACTATCTCACCCACGTACCCAAGATCGGGGTTCGCCACGTGGGCTTGCAGCAGGCACCCGTCCATTCCACTGATGCCGATGGTAGGGCCGCCCAGCTTTTGCATCAGGGCCGTCAACTCCTTGTTCACCAAACCGCCCAGCACGGCCACCACGATCTCCAATGAAGGTCCATCGGTTACCCGCAGGCCGTTGACGAAATTGGGGGCCAGATTCTGCCGCCGCATCCACTCGCTGATGACATTGCCGCCCCCGTGCACAATCACGATCGCCCGGCCCGCAGCGTGCAGCGACACCAGATCCTGAAGGGAGGTATCGTTGCCTCCCAGTGTGCTGCCACCGATTTTGACCACGATGGGCGGATCAGGCACAGTGGAATTCATCACGGTCAATGGTTACTGCAATCGGGCTGGGGCACAGTCGGCAAGATGTCCATCCCGCACAGCGCGATGGCATCAGCGGGGCAGTGGTTCTTGTCCCATAGCTCAGGTCGTGTACGCGCTGTTGATGATGACGTACTGCTCGGTCAGGTCGCACCCGAAGGCGGTTGCGACTCCGTCGGCCAGGTTCAGGCTCACTCGGAAGTCCACCTGCTCCCCCGACATCAGGGCGATCACGGCATCCCGGTGGAAGGGTATCGGCGTACCGGCCTCCATGATGCAAACCCCGTTTACGAACAAGTCCACGTGCTCTTCCTGCGCCTCGGCTCCGCTGCGGCCCAACGCCATCATCAGGCGTCCCCAGTTGGGGTCTGCACCGTACACCGCCGACTTCACCAGATTGCTGCCCGCAATCGTCTTGGCTGCCTTTCGCGCGTCGGCTACGTCGCGCGCGCCATCAACCCGCACCGTAATGAGGTGCGACGCGCCCTCTCCATCCCTGGCCAGCATTCGGGTCAGGGCGTTGCAAACCTGATGCAGGGCGTTGCGGAACGATTCGGCATCGGGTGAACGTTCGTCAATAACCGGATTGCCCGCCTGTCCGTTGGCGAAGGCCAAAAACGTATCGTTGGTGCTGGTGTCGCCGTCCACCGTCAGCATATTGTACGTCTCGTCGGCCACGGCCTTCACCGTCATCTGCAAAAATCCGGGATCGACGGCGGCGTCGGTTGTCGCAAAGGACAGCATCGTCGCCATGTTGGGGTGAATCATCCCCGAGCCCTTGGCCACTCCGCCGATTGTTATCTCCTGGCCCGTGGATGCCATAAAAGACACTGCCGTTTCTTTGGTATGCGTATCAGTGGTCATCATCGCCCGGGGCCAACTGATTGCCACCCTGGTCGTCCAGCACGATCTCGGTCACACCGGATCGGATCAGGGACATGGGCAGTTCAACCCCGATGACTCCCGTGCTGCAAACCAGAACGTCCTCCGCGGCCATCCCCAGGCAATCGGCGGCCAGGCGAGTCATTTCCTCGGCGTCCTTGTATCCCTGTGCGCCCACGCAGGTGTTGGCGATGCCCGCATTGACGATCAGAGCGCGAGCCTGTCCGCTGGCCACCCGTTCCCGGTCCAGATCAACCGTTGCCGAACGGATCGCCGACGTCGTGAACACGCCACCTATGGAGCACGGCGTATCCGAGACCAATAGCGCCAGGTCCAGCTTGTCCTCGCCCCGGGATTTGAGACCGATGTACACACCGCCGGCCGAAAACCCTTGCGGCGACGTGACTGTGCCGCCGGAAACGGCGGTGATTTCTGCAATGTGAGACGAGTTGCCGGGCATTATAGAGCGCTCCTGCTAGCCAAAAATCAGCGGTCAAAATGACGGTTCAATATACCACAAACTGGCTGCTCAACCGGTGCACAGGCCGACTGCCGCAGGGCAAGCGCATTCTGATTCTATGGCTCTCGTCTTTCCCGCTGGTGCCGTAACCACGCAAGTGCAATCTATAATGCGATTGTCCTGCCAACTGCCGACATCGAACTGATCGCCCATCGGCGCCAACGTTCGGCGCCAGTGTTCGCAACGATGTTACCCCTGCTGGCGGCGCTCCATAAAACTGGCGGTGATGGCCTGTTCGGCGCGGCGGCTGTGTTCGGCGATAAACTGCTCCAACCGGCGTATTTCGCGGGTTGTTTCCTCCAACTCAGGCTGCCGGGCGGCCTGTTGCTTCAACTGCGCCAGACCCTTGCGCGCCTCGTCCACCTGCTGCACCGATTCCAGCGCCGCCAACTCTTCCACCGCCGCCTTCTTGATCGTCAGCAATCTCCGCCGGTTGTCTTCGGCATCCTGCAACCGCTCCTCGATCTCTCCCATCGCCGACAGCGCAGTATCTATGGGCGCCATGCCGTAAATCGTCTGCCGCGGCAACCGCCGCAACTGCGTGCGAAACTGCCCAATGGAGGCGTCCAGCTGCTCCTCTTTATGACGTATTTCCGCCAGCGACATTCGTAATGCCGCCATTGCCAGTTGCAATTGAGAATTGGTTGACATACCGGTATCCCGACTACGCTGTTATGGTCTTGTGGCAGCCGCCAACAACAAAATCATCTGGAAACGGGACCTGGCCGGCAACCGTAGCTACCGGAACCTGCTCCCCGGTTGGCTACCCACTGAACCCTACCTTGGGCAGCACCCGCTCCAGCGCCTCCAGCACTTCCGTAATGTCCTCTTTGGTAACCCAACCCAGGTGACCAATCCGGAAACAATGACCGGTCAGCTTGCCCTGGCCTCCGGCCAGCACCACGCCTTCGTCCTCACGCATCATCGCCATAAACTTGCCGCCGTCGATTTCATCCGGCATCTTGATGGCCGTAACGGTATTCGATGCGCGGGATTCGTCCGTCGCCAGCAGTTGCAATCCCAGATTCTTCACCCCGGCCCGGCAATATTCGCCGATGCTCGCGTGGCGGCCGTACACCGACTCTAACCCTTCGCTGATAATTCGGTCGAGGCCCAGCCGCAAACCGTAAAGCAGCGCCACGTTGGGCGTCCAGGGAGTTTGTCCCCGTTGCAGCGAACGCTCCGCAGCCATCAGGTCGAAATAGAATCGCGGCATCTTGGCGTCCTGGTACGCTTCCCATCCACGGGCGCTGATGCTGATGAACGCCAGCCCCGGCGGAATCATAAACCCCTTCTGGGATCCGGTCGCCACCACGTCGCAATTCCACCCGTCCACTGGCAGGGGCAAACAGCCCAGGCTGCTCACCGCGTCGACCAGCAGCAGCTTGTCGAACTCGGATTTTACGATTCGCGATATGGCTTCCAGGTCATGCGTAACGCCCGTTGACGTTTCGTTATGCGTTACCAGCACAGCCTTGATGGATGGATCCTTCCGCAACTCGGCGCGAATCGCCTCCGGGTCAATGGCATCGCCCCATTCAAAATCCATCCGCAACACGTCCGCGCCGTAGGTCTGGGCAATCTGGACGTACCGGTCGCCGAACGACCCCGCCGTGCAGGCAATGACGCGGTCGCCTGGTGACAGCGTATTAACCACCGAGGATTCAAGGGCCCCGGTGCCGCTGGCGGTCAGGATATACAGGTCATTCGTAGTCATGAAAACCTGCTTCAAACCGTCGGTCGTAGCCTCAATCAACTCCTTGAACTCAGGTCCCCGGTGATTGATCATCGGCAACGACATCTCTTCCATGATGTCGTCCGGAATCGGTGTCGGTCCGGGAGTTCGCAAGTTCTGTTGGGCAATCTTGGTCAGGGGCATCGGACAGGCTCCTCAGCTCGGGCGCTCCGGCCGGTCATCGTAACCGGCGCGGCGGCGCTCTTTATCGGTAAATTCAGGGTGTACACGGCACTGTTGCGGTGCCTCGTGTACCCAAACACAACACAACAATTATAGCAGGATTTTACGAAATCTGTCGGTCTGCGTCGACACTGCCGCCGTCCGGCGCTCACCAAGCACCGACGTCAAAGGGCGCGCCAGGGACGCAGCTCGGGGCGATGCCCAGCGGTATTACCGCTGGTTGCCCGTTTCACGGGCGGGCGTCGCATTCGCGACGCGCATCGCCCCGACTCCCCTGCTCCTCCCCTCTCACACCGTACCAACCACCGCGAGCCATCCGGCCGTTGCCAGCGTCGTTCCGGAACAACACATGCGTTGATTCGTGGTCGTACACGGAGAAAGCGGTACGGTCCCTAAACCCTACCCGCCAACTGATTCACCACCAGGCCGGTCGGTAGCTTCGGATAGAAAAAAGTCGATTTGGGTGGCAACCGTTGTCCGGCGCTCACGATCTCCCGGAACGGTTCCAGCGGGAAGGGTTTCAGCAGGATCGCCAACTGTTGTTCGCCGCGATTTACCTGCTCCACGATGGAATCGTGGTCGGGACTGTAGTCGATATGCTGACCCAACGCATCCCCCAACGCCGGCGTGAGCACCCGTTCCTGCAACAACCACGCCTCCGACACCGCCAGCGAACCCCAGGCCGACCAGTCTACGCCGGGTCTCAGCGTGTGCATCGTCGCCGTACCGTCGGACGCAAACATGGCGAAGCAGTGGCGATCGGCGCCCAACCGTTCCACCTTCGCCACAACATCAGCGGCCGACGTGCCCGCGTCCAGTGGACTCGCCTCGAACAACTCATCCAGATGACGCCGCACAGTGGTCAGTTGTTCGGGAGACAGACCGCCCATCACGCGGTGGTACGGCAGCAGCAGCAAACCCGGGTCGTCGAACTCGATCAACGCCATCATCACGTAATTCGATGCCGCATCGGGATCCGATTGTTGCGTGTCAGACTGGCTGCGCCGGTAGCGCAACGCCGCTTCGTAACGATGGTGTCCGTCGGCCAGGAACACCGGTCGATTGGCAAAGGTGTCCGTCAGCGCCTTTTGAGTGTCCTCGTCCGCGATCCGCCAAATCCAGGCCTCCCCACCTGCCGGAGTGTATGCCTGGGCATCGGCGGGGCTACCGACTATGCCGTCGAAAATCCTTTGCAGTGCGCCGTCAGCGTCCCGATACAGCGACATAATGGGGCTGAACTGCGCCTGGCACTCGTTCAGCAGCGCCACCCGGTCCAGCACCGAAGGCTCTCGCGTATACTCGTGCGGAAACACCGCTCCGGCGTCGTAATCCTCCACCAGAACATCGGCAAAAAACCCAAGGTGCTGATAGCGGGCGCCGGCAAATTCGTAGCTGTGGCGCATTAGATAAAAACACGGCCGTTCATCCCGCAGCACCGCGCCTTCCTCCATCCATTGCTGGAACAGCCGGGCCGCCTGTTGGTAACCCGCCTGCGGATCCACCGGGTCGGGCTGCTCGCCCCCCTCCAGGTGCACCGCATTGTATGGGCTGCGCTGCTGCAACTGGAGCTTCAGGTCGGCTCCGATCATATCGTAGGGCGGGCACACCACCGCCGACAGGTCTCCCACCACGGCGGGATCAAAACGGCAGCCTCGGAAGGGACGCAGAGTGGCCATGTTAGTTTCACCACCAGAAGATTGTGTCGTCGGACCGCGGCTTGGCGATCACGCGCCGTACGCGCCACGGTAGCGATTGCCTGATGCGGCAACCATTGCCTGATAATGATAGCATCCCGTCGCTCCCAGCCCTCCGTCATTCCGGACCACTCCGTCATTCCGGCCTTATCACTCCGTCATTCTGGCCTTGAGCCGGAATCCAGAGAACTCTTTAAACCGCAATGTTGCTTATCCTGGGCTTCCTGGATTCCCGCGTTCGCGGGAAAGACAGGTTGGGGCAGGATACTACCTTCAACTCTGAACAGTTACTCCCCTTCAACGGAGTGGGCCAACGTTCCTCCGTCGTATGTATAATGTCCCATCCACCCGTATTGCGGCGTTCTGCGTCGCCCGTTGCACTGTCTCGGAGACGCCAATTGTGCCGTTAGTCCTCACCAACGCCAACCTCATCGACTGCGTGAACCCAGGCGTGACCGCCGACACCGACGTTGTTATCGACGCCGGCCGCATCGTCGAGATTGGCGGTGGCGGCTCAACCTCGCCGGGCAATGACACCAGGGTGGTCGACCTGCGGGGCGCATTCCTGCTCCCCGGGTTGTGGGACGTACACATCCACCCCGAGTACCCAGTGCCGCCGGGCATGACGGTGGCCCAGGAGACGGCCAACTTCGGCCGGCAGCTGTCGTTGGCCCTGACCGAAGCTGGGGTTACATCGGTGCGTTGCGGAGGGGCGGCTCACTTTATGGACGTGGCCTGGAAACGCGCGTTTGCCGCCGGCGGTCTGATTGGGCCACGGGTGTTCGCTTCCGGCTATTTCCTGACCACCACCGGCGGCCACTTTCTCACCTCGGGCCAGGCGCGGGAATGCGATGGGCCGTATGGGTTCGTGCAGGCCATCCGTGAGCAAATCAAGAACGGCGTCGACCACATCAAGCTGAACCTCACCGGCGGTATCATGGGCCCCGACTGGGACCGGCATTGGCATTCGTTCCTGCTGGAAGACGAGCTGGCCGCCGCGTTTGCGATCTCCCGTCAGCGGGAATTTCCCGTTATGGCTCACGCCGCCAACCCCGACGCGGTCAAGTCGGCGGTCAGGCTGGGGGCGCACAGCGTGGAACACGGCTACATCATGGATGAAGATTGCATTTTCGCGCTGACCGACTCGCAGACCTGGTACGTTCCCACGCTGGCGATTTCACATCTCACCGAAGGGCAGGCGCAGAACGAGCACGAGAAGCGGTGGCTGTCCGAACGCAACATCGCCGTGGAGCTCCAGTGCCGCGCCGATGCCGCCGCCGGGGAGCACGCTCGCTGGTTCCGCCGAGCTCTGGATGCCGGCGTGCCCATGGCCTTGGGTTCAGATATCCGACCGCTGCGGGAAGCCACATTGCTTGAGATGGGATTGTGGGTCCGCGACGGCGCAACCGCCTGGCAAACCCTCCTTGCCGCCACCCGCAATGCCGCCTCATTGTGCGGTGTGGGCGATCAGTTGGGCACGGTGGAATCCGGAAAATTGGCAGACCTGATTGTGGTTGGTTCCAACCCTCTGGAAGAAATCAACAACCTGCGGCAACTCCAGCTTGTGATCAAGGAAGGCCGCATCGTCTCGGACAAGCGGCCTTCCCGTTAGCAGCCGTTCCGGGAACGAAGAACCCCTCTCCCTGAGGGTGAGGGGTTGGGGTGAGGGGTCGTCCCCACCCCGCCAGTTGCCGATTACAAAATCGCTACCGGATTCACGGGAGATCCGGTGCCACCCACGACCCTTAGCGGGTTGATGGTCAGCATGAATTCGTACCGCCCTTCTTCGGCGCAGGCTTCGGCTAGTGGCTGCAGCAGCGCATTGTCCAGCAGCCCGATTCCGTAGGCGAATATGCTGCCGTGAACCGACCACGGCAGGTCGTAGCCGTTGGGCGTGTGATCCATCATGTCCCACACCAGCACGCAGCAGTCGCTCTGGCGAATGAACTTCAGGCATGATGCGTGCAGTCCCGGACGTTCCGCGGGGTCGCTGCCCCACATCGCGTTTCCGTCCGCGTTCCACTTCTCCCGTCCGCCATACACGATCAGCGCGTCGCCCGGCTCCATCTGCACACCCTGGGCGGCGCAGATATCATCCAGCTCCCAGGCGTGAATGGGTGTCTCCTGGGTAACGTAGTCCGTCCCCCGGTGCCGCGGCACGTCCAGCAGGACGCCCCGTGTGATGATGCCTTCTTTCCAGTGCTCCACCGACCCATACTTGGCTCCGTCGAACTGAATCATCTCGTCCGGATTCTTGCCGTTCCACATCCCGTTGCCGTCCCAAACGTGGCAAAGTGCGTCCAGGTGCGTCGTAGCGGTGCCGTGATACGAGATGCCGTAGTAGTCCGTGGACATTCCACCGCCCGGCTCTCGCGGACCCTTTCGCATGTAATGGATGGCCGGCGACGGGTTGTTGGGCGCTGGCGTAACCGGAAACTCCCGGCTTAGCGACACGGCGCGCCCGCTCTTGACCAAACCTGCGGCCCGCAGTCGCTTGGCGTCGTCCACCATATTGACCGCGCCCTTCTGGTCGTCCGGACCCCAACGGCCCCAGTTAACATCGTCTTTCAGATAGCCCAGCACTTCCTCTCGGCTCGGTATCTCACGGCTCGTCGTCATGTCGTATCCTCCGTGTCTGGTTGTATTTGCGCCAATTATCCCCTGCCCTCCTGACAAGGGCAAGGGTGACCCCCCGTTCGTCCTGAGCCTGTCGAAGGGCCCCGCGCGTCCTGAGCCTGTCGAAGGGCCCCGCGCGTCCTGAGCCTGTCGAAGGGCCCCGTTCATCCTGAGCTTGTCGAAGGGCCCCGTTCATCCTGAGCCTGTCGAAGGGCCCCGCGCGTCCTGAGATTGTCGAAGGGCCCCGTTCATCCTGAGCCTGTCGAAGGGCCCCGCGCGTCCTGAGCTTGTCGAAGGGCCCCGTTCATCCTGAGCCTGTCGAAAGGCCCCGTTCGTCCTGAGCCTGTCGAAAGGCCCCGTTCGTCCTGAGCCTGTCGAAAGGCCCCGTTCGTCCTGAGCCTGTCGAAGGGCCCCGTTCGTCCTGAGCCTGTCGAAGGGCCCCGTTCGTCCTGAGCCTGTCGAAGGGCCCGTTCGTCCTGAGCCTGTCGAAGGGCCCCGTTCGTCCTGAGCCTGTCGAAGGGCCCCGTTCGTCCTGAGCCTGTCGAAGGGCCCCGCGCGTCCTGAGCTTGTCGATGGGCCCCGCGCGTCCTGAGCCTGTCGAAGGGCCCCCTCTCCCCTCCTGACAAGGGCAAGGGTTGATACCACCTCCCCCCCGCCATCGCGAGGAACGCTCATGCGGTCATTGTGAGCTGCGATTCCCGGCGTCCCCACACCGCAAAACCGGCCGCGCACGGCGAACCCTACCCTGCGTCCGGCCAGATGTGACCCCGCCCTTCAGGGTAGTAATTCACGTCCCAAAACAGATGCTCATAACGCAGCGTGGTGACAAAAATGCGTTCCAGCTTCGCCGCCTTCCCAGCGTCAGCCCGCGCTCCGGCCTCGTTCAGGCGTATCGTAAACCACTCCACCACGTCGCTCAGCACTGCGGGACTATGGATGTCTATCCAGCCCTGGTATACCGGATTGTTGGGTTTCACCCCCGAATTTATCGCTCGCGCGGCCCAGTCCAGATACGTTCCCTCGGTTACGTAAAACAGGGAAATAATATCGTCGATATCGCCTTCCAGCGCCGTGCGCACCATGAAATCGCCAAATGCCTGGGTGATCGGATTTTTCACGGTTTCCCGATACTCGTCGCCAGAAACCCCCAATTCCTGAAAACCGTTCAGGAACAGATCGTTCTCTGCCGACAGAAAGTTTGCCAAAAATCCGTTCAGTCGCGTGCCGGCGTCGTAATCCGGAGCGGCTTTGGCGATGGCAATGGCCGTCAGCTTCACCAGGTCTTCGCAAAAAACATAGTCCTGCCGAAAATAACTGCGAAACTTGTCAATGTCCAGGCTTCCGTCGCCCATCTCCAGCACAAAGGGATGCGTCACCATAGCCTCCCATTGTGCATGGTACTTCACTCTCAAATCATCGGCGAATGGCATGGCATTATCTCCCAGTATGTATCGCTTGATTCCCCCGCCGCTCGCTTAAGGATTGGAGCGAGCGACGCACTCCGGTCTTTCAAGCGAAGATCGGGTGGTCAGACGGCAGTCAGGCCGTGGATGATGACGAGTTGGCGACCGATTCTGCCAGGCACCCGAAAAACCGGTCCATCATCCCTTTGGCCACCGAACCCATCATCCGTTGGCCCACCCGGGCCACCGCTCCGCCCACCTGCGTATCGGCATCCACATGCACCACAGTCCCACCGTTGTCCGACGGTGTCAGGGCAACGGCAACCGTCCCGTTCGCGAACCCGATGTTGCCCGAGCCCTCAATTGACATGTGATACGAGTTCGGCGGGTTCAGTTCAGACAGGGCGACCACCGCTGAGTATTGGCCCCCAATTGGCCCCACCCGGATGTTCACCGCCGCGCGGTACCGATTCTCTCCATCCGGCTCCATGCTCCGGCAGCCGGGAATGCAGCCGGCCAGCACATCGGGATTCATCAGCGCGTCCCACACCACCTCGGGCGGTTGGGCGAAAGTGTATTCGGCAGAGAGTTCCATAGTGCGGGGATTATAGCAGGGTATTCAGCTGCCGTTCCTGGGCAGTTCCCCTCGTCATTCCCGCGCCGGCGGGAATCCAGTGCCGAATCTGTGTTCCGTAGTGCGCCTGAACCACGCAAGTGCAATTTATAATGCGATTGCCCTGCTATTACGCATGGAGTGTGCTTCCCTGGTACAGACACCTCCGGTACACTGCCCCTATGATATTCCACAGCACCCGGCGCGCGACAGATTACAGCATGATCCTGCTCGGTACTCTGTCATGTCTATTTGAAATGGAGGTTGTTCATGTATAGGTTCATATCTCCTTTGCTTCTGGTTTCCTTTCTCGCGTTTCTGGTCGCCGGCTACTCCGGTATGTCCGACGAGGAAATCGCCCTCCAGGTCGCCGAGGATTGGACAACATCCAGCATCCGCCACGTAACGGAAGACGTGATGAGTTATCTGACGGGCAACGCACCGATTGTTTCCCAAATCGCTGGCGGCGCGCTGGTTGACGAGATCGCAGATCGCGTGACATGGACCTACGGAACTCCGCGTTGCTCCAGTGACGGTGATTGCACCATTACTGCCACCGCCAAAAGCGAAGTGGACATCAATATCCCGTTTGTGATGGACGAAACCGTTACCATCACGCTGCCCTTTAATCTCGAAATTGATACTGATGACGCGGAAGTCACCTTTTCACAACCCGACTTATCTTCAGCGTCAATAGCTGGTATCGATTTGGGTGGCGCCGGAGATTCCATTCGCAACCTGGGTAGTCAAAGCGAAGAAATCATCCGTCAGGGAGAGGGTGCTCTCCAGCAGGCTGAAGACGCCCTTCGCCAGGTCGAAAAGAATCGCGGCGCTGTCGAAAACGCCGGCGAAAGCATCCAAAACCTCTTGAACAGGTAACCCGTTCCCCGCGACGTACCGCCGAGATAACCTCCCGGCGAGAGGGGCCAGGACGCGATCCGCACTTTCCTACCGCTCGTCCGCCAACGCCATTGCGTTCAGGAGCACCTGCGCCCCGTTGGCGCAGTCCTCCGGCGTCGTATATTCCGCCGGGGCGTGACTGATCCCGCCCACGCTGGGAACGAACACCATCGCCGACGGCGTAACGGTGGCGATTGCCTGGGCGTCATGGCCGGCTCCGCTGGGCAGGCTGATGTGCTCCAGGCCGGCCAAACCCGTTGCGTCGGCTATGAGTTGCTGCATGTTGCTTGATATGGGCACCGACGGCGTGTTCCGTTGGGCGGTAACCGTTATCGCCACCTGCTCGGCGTGGGCCACCTCCTCGGCAGTGCGTCGCAGCTCCACTTCCGCCGCCGCCAGCGATTCCATCCGTTCATCCCGAAACTCGCAACCCAGAACCACCCGTCCCGGAATCACGTTGGCGGCGTTCGGGTGCACCTCCATGCTGCCCACGGTGCCAACCCGGCACACCTCCATCTCGCCGGCGATGTGCCGCACCGCCAGGGCAACCTGCGCCGCCGCCGACATCGCGTCGCGCCGTAGCGACATCGGCGTCGTCCCGGCATGGTTAGCCTCGCCCACTATGTCGATGTGATACACGGATCGGCCCGTTATGCCTGTAACCACGCCAATCGGAAAACCGCCCCGGTGCAGCGTCGGGCCCTGCTCGATATGCAGTTCCAGGTAACAGGCAAGTTCGTCCGGACGCCGCCGGGCCTCGTCGATTCGCGAGATGTTGCCGCCCAGGTCGGGCAAACGCGATGCCAGCGCGACCCCATCGTCGCCCACCGCCGAAAAATCCTCCGGCTCCCACAGCCCGGCCACGGCTCGGCTCCCCAGCAGCCAGCGGTGAAACCCGGTGCCCTCCTCGTTGGTAAACACCACCACCTCCACCGGATGCCGCGATGTTCGTCCTGAGTCTTTTATCGCCTGAACCACCTCGATAGCGGCTATCACCCCCAGCGCCCCGTCATACCGACCGCCGGCCGGGACGGTGTCCGTGTGGGACCCCAACACGATGGCCGGCAGCGACGGGTCGGTTCCCTCGATGCGGCCAATGATGTTGCCGGCGGCGTCGATACGCACCGATAACCCCGCCGACTGCATCAGCTCAATCACGTAATTGCGCACGCGGCGGGGATGTCGAAGAGCGCGAGAACGCCACCACGCTGTGCATCCCTCGTCGTGATGCCAATCGTCGCCCAGGGCGTCCAGATTGTCGTTCAGGCGGGATGCATTGATGCCCAGGGAGCCAGCCGGCATGGATGTTGACATATTCTTTCCGTCCTCTTTAGTTGCGCTTAACGTCGCCCGGAACCGGGTTTACTCCACTTCCCAAGGCCGCTTCCCAGACCCGCTTCACAGGGAGCAACCCCTGGATCATAACCACTCCCTCGACGGAGGGTCAGCATTAGGGTGAACTACCTCGCGATACCTGTCAGATTCACGGCGTACCTATCCGTTTCCGCTGCCCAAATCCCGACGGTGCAGTACGACCAGAGTCAAACCCCACAGCACACCAATGTACGCAAGTACCCGCGCCGGCAGAAACACCCACCGATTCAGGTCTCCATTCCCCCGGATCAGTTCCGTCGTCGCGCCCCGCAGCGTCCAGGCCGTGTATTCGCTTACCGATGACCCGGCCACCGCGGCAACCACGTTGGCAATTGGGTAAACGACGCTCTCAAACAGCAAAAATCACGCGATCAGCCGAAACGGCCTCGTTTGAAACGTCCCAGCACGGTGAACAACGCTCCCAACCCAGCGTAAGCCAAAGCGGTCAGCCACACCGCGAACAGTTTGACTATCGTACCTCCCCAGGGTGACGTCTCACCAAATCCGAACTGGCTATCCGGGTTCGAGCCCCCGGCCGCCAGTCCCACCAGTGCGGACAGCGCGTAAGCGAATGCCCATAAAACTGTGATGAAAATGCTCACCAACGCCAGCTTGGCTACCGCAGTATGCCAGCGTGGCGCGCCCCTGGCAGTTACCGAACGTATCGTTCCCCATTGGAATTCTCCGCCGAAAGCGATGCTTATCAGGGCGATCGCCAGGATGGGCCCAGCCCGAACCGGAAGTTCCAGCACCGCATTGGGGAAATCAGCCGGCGACAACGTCTCGCCGAATCGCTGACCCAGATTATCGAACAGGACCACTCCACCTGTAACGATAACTATTGCGCCGGCAAACATCCCCGCCAATAGCCACACCGATACGCGGCGGCAGTATCTGAACCACTCCCAGCGAAACGCTGACCAAACCGGCCGGATTTCGAAGGATACGTTGCTAGTCGTCATGCGGGTTCTCTTCTCCGGTGACTTCCATGAACCCTGCCTCCAGCGAACTCACCAGGGATCGCATCTCGGCCACGTAAACATCCGAATTTGCGAGGGCCTTCGTTATTTCCCACTCCAACCCAGGTTCTACATCGATGGTGATCCCTTCAGGCGGCTCGCCGTTCACCTGCCAACCGCCCTGCCGCAACAACTCGACCGCCTTTTCGTCGTCCGTCGTGCGGATCGCCACCCGCGACGTCGCACCCATTCCCGAAACCGCTCCCGAGTACAGTAACCGCCCCCGCGCCATAACGCCCACCTGATCGCATACCTGCTCAACCTCGTTCAGCAGATGGCTGGCCAGGATGATCGTACGCTCTCCATTGCTGGCCAGGTTACGGATAATCTGCCGCACTTCGATGATACCGACCGGGTCCAGGCCGTTGGTGGGCTCATCCAGTATCAGCAGCGACGGATTGCCCAGCAATGCTCCGGCGATGCCCAACCGCGCTTTCATGCCGGTAGAACAGGCGCGGAATTTGCGTTGCGCCGCATCGTCCAGCAATCCCACCGTAGCCAACAAATCGTCGATCTCTGCGTCGCCGCCGGCGGAACCATAGACACCCTGCAAACACTTCAGGTTGTCTCGGCAGGACAGGTACGGCCAGAACACCGGGCGGTCAACCAGAGTACCCAACGCGGCCCTGGATTCCCGCAGACCCGCATCACCGGTTCGCCCCAACACCGTGATCTCCCCGGCGTTGGGGCGAAGGAAACCGGCCAGCATGGATAGCAGGGTAGTTTTCCCAGAGCCGTTTGGCCCCAGCAATCCGTACACTCCGCCCGACTGTATGGCGACGCTGACGTCGTCCACTGCCAGCACCCGACCGAATCGTTTGGAAACTCCCGCTGTCTCCACAGCCGGCGTCCGATCAGCCGCGTTAATCATCATATCTGCGCATCAGGCCTCTCATCAGGTCAACACATCGAACCCGTAGCCAGCATGGTTGAGGTCGTTTTCAGCGAAGCGGGACAGGCGCAGCGGGTTGATGTCCACCGTGGCGGCAGCGCCGTATCCGATCAATTCCGCCATCAGCACGCCCACCATCGGCGACAACTTGAATCCGTGCCCGCTGAAACCGCTGCATAGATACAGGCCATCGATACCTGCAACCCGATCCATGATTGGGTGAGAGTCGGGACTGTTGGTGTACAGCCCGGCGTACCCTGTAGCCAGCTCGGCATCGACCATTGCCGGAATGCGGCGGGCCAAACGCTGCCAGACATCTTCGATAAAGGCCGGGCTGGCTCGTTGTGCGAATACCTCGGGATCCTCCACCACGTCCGAGTGGTTGCCATTGCCCACCAGCGTCAGGTCCTGACCCTCAGGCCGGAAGTAAATCCGGTTGCTGATGTCCGCTCCTCCGGGGTGGTACGGCACCGCATCCGTGGGCCGCCGAAAATGCAATACTTCGTGGCGCGTCGCTACCAGCGGCACTTCCAATCCCTGGGCAGCCATGAGCCGCGCCGTCCAGGGCCCGGTGGCCACTACCGCTATCCTGGTTGAGATTCGTTCGCCTGCCGCAGTATGCACTGCCTCAACCCGGCTCCCGTCGCTGCTTGTTTCGACGGTGGACACCGGACATTGCAGGCGAATCGTCACTCCCTCTGCACGGGCCCGCGCGGCGTAGGCCAGGGCGGTGCCCGATGCGTCGGCGTGTCCCGAATAAGGTTCGTAAGCGATCCCCGCGGCGTCATCGACCGCAAACCCGGGAGCCAGGTTGGCTGCGTCGGTTTTGCTGATGATATCGGTAATCACGCCCACCGACTGCTGCATTGCAACGTTGCCCCGGAACGCTTCCACCTCGTCCGCGCCGGCGAACACCAGGTAACCCGTGCGGGTATATCCGCATTCGCCGCCGATGATATCCGCAAAATTGCGAAATATTTGCAGGCTCCGCCACGCCATCTCAGCGTTAACTACGGTGGAGTAGTGCATGCGGATCGCCGCGCTGCTGCGACCGGTGGAACCACTTCCCAGCGTATCGCGCTCCAGTACCAGGATGCGCCGGATTCCGTGGTCGGCGGCGGTGAGCGCCAGGTTGCACGCAATGCTGCAACCCATCACCCCGCCCCCGATGATCACGGCGTCGGCGGTGTCGGTCATGCCACGAACACCGGATGCCTACGTTTCTGCATCGCCGTGGTTCCCGCCGCCAATCCCGTTCCCCTGGAACAACTGCTGCAGCAGGTCTATCGTGGAGAATACCCTGTCGACCGATGCGGTAACGGTCGTATCTGGAAGGTCATTTTCGTAGAAATGAGTATGCAAACTACGAGCCAGTCCCAAACCGGCGATCAGCGTTTGAGTGGCAACCTCGTCTTGTTGACCAACCAGGGCAGTTAGCCGGTCGGCAACGCGCAGGATGCTGCGGTGGCTGGCGATGTGCAGTCCGTGGTCGGCTCCGATGATCTTGATGGCCTGGGCATAAGCGCCCCAAGACTTCTCGGCTGCCTGCAGGTAATCACCTTCGGCCAGGCTCTTCTGCACGTGCTCCCGATAATGATCCAGGTTACCCCGGTAGGTCGCCGACAACTCCTCTAACTCACCGGGCGACGCCTCGGGGTCTGCTCGCCCGTTCAGCCCCGCGCGAATGGCGTCGGCAACTTGCTGCATGGCAAATGGTGGTGGTGTGGAACTCATGACAAATCCATTATAACCCGGCGCCGGATGCCGCTACCGTCACTCGAAGCCTCACCCGTAACCACTTTGTCAATGCGCCCCCGTAATCGATGCGGGGGTTGCCAATCTCGATGAGGCTGAACACACGTAGACGATCCTTCGACAAGCTCAGGACGAACGGCCCGGTGGGGCCGGCCGCGATTGCCACGTCGCTATGCTCCTCGCAATTACAGAATAAAGCTGTGCTGGTCGCGATCCCAGATTAAAGCGGGTACCCGTGAGCTCGCGAATGCGGTCGAAATCTATTGCCGCTCCCGTGCCCGCCTCACCGGGTGCGTTGTGCCCCGTTGCTTTCGCATCCATCGCAAAAACGACCCGACCCGCGGGTTGGCCCGCAGCAGCTCCACGCTGTACAACTCTTCAGCCAGCGTCGTTACCGAAAACATCGCGTGTACCTGACGGTGGCACGTCGGACACAATCGCGCCTTCGGTCCGTGGTTGCCGCCACGCGCCCGTGGCACCAGATGATGCACGGTGAACCGCTCCACATCTCTCCGGCACAATTCGCAAATCCTGTCTCCCGAGTCCGGCGCTGCCCTGGGCCATTCCACCGACACGGCGCGCCGGTGTGCCCCGGCCTGCGAATTGTTCCGTGTCTCAGCGCTCCCGCGTCCTCGTGACCGGGTGGGGCTCGACCGTCTAGCCATCGCCGCCCCGTTTTGAGTCGTCCAGAAATCGCCAGCCGGGCAGGTCCACCTGCCACAACGACTCTTCCAGCAGCATCGGAATCACCAAACCAGACATCAACGTGCTGTGTTGCACCACCGTCTCATCCGTAACGCCGAATGGCAAAAACACGAAAGCGTGCACGTCGTCAACGTACCGGGTCGGCGCGGCGGCCAGGTCGGTCAGATCTTCCAGCGGCCACAACCGCAACACCGTCGTACGAAAATCGTCCAGCAGCGACGGTCTCATTGGGTGGTCGGCATCGTAGGCCGCCCGGTATGCCACCTGCATGTCGATGCTGTTGCGCGTCGCCCAAACCCCCATCCGCATACCTCGCGTCTCTTTGGACAGCATGGACCATGCCAGGTCCATGTCACCGTCGCGTATCGACTCGGCGAACAGGCCGGCCCGTTGACCAACCTCGTCCGGTTCCTGACTGCGCCGATTCCCGGGAATTCTCATTTCTAACCACCTGTGCTCCAGGTGGTGTTCAAGCGGCTTGGGCGCAAGTCCCGGAGGCTGTCGTCATTGTATGGCCTGCAGCACCCTGAGGCAAACAGCCACCGGGCCTTCCCAGCCCCCTGCCATTGCTGGGAGAGGGTTGGGGTGAGGGTGGAATCCCCGTTCATCCTGAGCCCAACCTCCCCCGTTCATCCTGAGCCTGTCGAAGGACCCCCTCTCCCTTGATGGGAGAGGGTTGGAGTGAGGGTAAACCCCCCGTTCATCCTGAGCCTGTCGAGGGACCCCCTCTCCATTGATGGGAGAGGGTTGGGGTGAGGGTTGGAACCCCCGTTCATCCTGAACCAAACCTCCCCCGTTCATCCTGAGCCCAACCTCCCCCGTTCATCCTGAGCCTGTCGAAGGACTCCTCTCCCTAATATCCGATGGCATACCCGTCGTAGCGTGGGTCAGCCGCCCCATGGATCGCCCCGTTGTCCTGATCGATGTATAAAGCCATTTCCCTACCGGTAACCCCGTCCCAAGCATCCAGCTCGTGCACCGGATGACCCATCGCCCGCAGCCGGCGCGTGGTAGTTGGATCGAAACGTCCCTCCATCAGCAATCGGTCTTCGGCGGTGTGAGGTATGGTCGATTCTGTGCCGTCCCCCACGTGTTTCCAACGGGGAGCCTCCACCGCTTCCTGAACCGTCATATCGTAGTCCACCAGGTTGGTTATGATCTGCATGTTGCTCTGCACCTGGCAATCGGCGCCGGGTGTTCCCAGCACGTACGCCAGCCGCCTGCCTTGGCCCGCGCTTCCGTTTCCATTCCCCGACGCCTGGTCGCGACGGAAAACCATCACCGGATTCATCGTGTGGCGCACCCGCTTGCCTGGTTGCAGGCAATCGACGTGGTTCGGGTCCAGATGCCAGTACGTCATTCGGTTGTTCAGCAGGATTCCGGTGTTCCCTGCAATCAGCGAAGAACCCCAGCCGCTCTGAATGCTTTGCAACTGGCAAACCGCGTTGCCGGCCCGGTCGGCCACCACGAAACAGGTGGTGTCTTCCCGCTCCGTGCGGGGACCCCGCCGACCGGCGCCCGCGGCGGCGGCTTTGCGCCCCTCGGTCTGGTGACGCCACGGGTCGCCGGCGATTACGTTTTCAGATGCCCGATCGGGGTCTATGCTGCCGGCTCGTTCCCGGGCGTACTCTCGAGACAGCATCCCTTCCAGCGGTACGTCAATATAGTCGGGATCGGCCACGAACGCTTCCCGGTCGGCGAAGGCCATTTTCTTCGCCTCCACCATCAGATGTATCGACTCCGCGGAGCCGAATCCCAGCGCCGTCATGTCATGCCCGTCGATCATATTGAGTTCCTGCAGCAAAATATGGCCGCTGGAATTGGGTGGAGCCTCGTAAACCGTATAGTCCCGGTAGTTGGCGGAGATCGGTTCCTGCCACCGGGCCGAACAGTCCGCCAGATCAGCCATCGTTAGCAGTCCGCCCTGCTCCTCGCTGAACCGGATGATCTCTTCTCCGATGGACCCGCGGTAGAAAACGTCCCGCCCCTGTTCTGCAATGGTCGTCAGCGTGCGCGCCAGATCGGTTTGCCGCAGGATGTCTCCTACTTGTAGTGGCGCCCCCGACCCTTCCCGAGTGAACACCGCCCGACTGGTCGGAAACTCACACAACAACGCATCGCCCGCGATGGCGGCAGCAAGATAATGCGTAACCGGAATGCCGTCGCTGGCGAGCGCGATGGCCGGCGCCAGTACCTCGTCCAGTGGCATGGTTCCGAATTCGGCGTGCGTATCCAGCCATGCGTTGAGTATTCCGGGAACCGACACGCTCAAAATGCCCTTCATGGGTATGCCGTTCCGATAGCGCTCCAGCGTGGCCGCATAGGGAGCCGCCCCGGTTCCGTTGCTGATGCGCAGGCGGTCGTCCTCGGCCCGGTAGGTCATGATGAAGCCGTCCCCGCCGAGGCCCGACATCAGCGGCTCCACGACGCCCAGCGCGGCGGCCGTGGCGATCGCGGCGTCGACGGCGTTGCCTCCCCGTTGCAGAATGGATATTCCGGCCTGTGCCGCCAGTGGTTGACCGGCGCAGACCATACCGTTGCGTCCCATCACTACGGGTCGGTGAGCGCTGTGACGGATACCGTGGGGTGTTGCAGACATACGGCGATTGCTCCTCGAATATGAGTAAGACAGTTTCCACCCCAATAATATCACCGCCCGATGGCCACCGGCACACCACCAACCCAGCGCTCCCGTCATTCCCGCGAACGCGGGAAACCACGCGCCCCCTGTCATGGCGAGGAGCGCAGCGACATGGCAATCTCGCTGCCCTCGGCCCCCGTTCATCCTGAGCCCTTCGACGGCACCCTCTCCCTTGATGGGAGAGGGCTGGGGTGAGGGTGGTCAATCCCCTCTCCCATCAGCCCCCGTTCGTCCTGAGCCCGTCGAAGGACCCTCTGTCATTGCGAGGAGCACAGCGACGTGGCAACCTCGCTGCGCCCACCGGCCCCCGCTCGTCCTGAGCTTGTCGAAGGCACCCTCTCCCTTGATGGGAGAGGGCTGGGGTGAGGGTGGTCAACCCCTCTCCCACCGCCCCCATTCATCCTGAGCTTGTCGAAGGACCCCCTGTCATCACGAGGAGCGCCAGCGACGTGGCAATCCCCCCGCTGGTCCTGAGCCCGTCGAAGGGCCGGCCCCACCGGGCCGTTCGTCCTGAGCTTGTCGAAGGATCGTCTACGTGTGTTCAGCCTCATCGAGATTGCCAACCCCCCGCATCGGGTACGGGGTCGCAATGACAAAGTGAGTACGGGTGAGACGCGCCACTATTCCGAGGTGGCAAAACCAAAATCCTTCTCCGACCCGTACGTCGGGCGAATCCCCTCTCCCACCGGGAAAGGGCAAGAGCCTGCCCCGTACTTGATACGGGGGTGAGGGCGGAACCCCCCGGCGCTACCGCGTGGGCGGAGGAATCGCGGCCGATCGAATCGTTGCTATCATCGCCTGCGAAACTCCCGCCTTGGCGAAGAATTCCTCCTGCTCGTCGGTCAGTTGCCCGCCAGAGCCGCGCAGCGTGCTGATCAGCGTATCGGTCCCGATGCTCAATTCTGACTGGGCCTGATGGCGGACCGACGCCAGATTATGCGCTCCGGTCAAGTCCAGCGCCGCGAATATGGTGTCGTACACCAGGGCGTCTCTGAAGTTCGTGTTGTTCAACACCGTCTGGTTCAGATTGGCGTGGGACAAATTGGAATGGGTCAGGTTTGCTTCGGTGAGGTCGGATTTGTAAAACGTGGTATTCGACAAATTCGCGAACTGGATATCGGCCCAGGCCAGGTTGGCTTCCGAGAAATCCGAAAAATAGCAGTACGTCCCTCGCAACACCGCCTGCCCCAGGTTGGCCCCGCGCAGGTTTATCTGATTCAGGTCTGCGCGGGTCAGGTTGGCTCCCTGCAGTTGGGCGCGGGCCATATTGGTTTCCTGGATGGTGGCCCCCTGCAGGTTTGCGCCCCGCAGGTCGGCGTTCTGGAAGTTGGCCCCGGTGAGATTGCAGTGGTGGAGGTCGGCGCCGCGCAGATCGGCGTTGCTGAAATCCGACCCGCTGAAGTCCAGGTTGTCCAGGTTACTCCAGGTCAGGTCGGCGCCACGCATCTGCGAGTAGGCGAATGACAAACCCGATACATCCTCGGTCGCTCGCCACTCGTTCCACGCCACCACGTTGCTCCGCAAGCGATCAAGATGCCGCCGCGCCATCATCTTGCGCCAAAATTGCATAAACGGACTCCTGGTTGATTTTAACTCCGCTGGCCAGCTCAATCCACCAACCACCGCACCGTTGGCCGTCATCGCGCTAGCGGCCCAACCACTTTCCCGATTACCATTTGATAACCGGGTTCGGCGGTTGAGCCGATGCCAGATAGTTCGCTTATTTGGGTGGGCCAGCCGCCAGATTGAGGCTCAGCCCGGGCAGGTTCTAATGACCGCCGCAGCCGCAGCCACCGCCGCCGCTGCCACATCCACAGCCTCCACCACCACCAACACCGCTTCCGCAGCCGCAGCTTCCCGAACCACAGCCACCGCCGGAGTACATCGGATTGTTGATCACGAACCCAACGCGGCCACCGAACTCTTCCACGTAGTCGATCGTGGCTTCTTCCAGGAATGGAGCGCTGTCAGAATCCAGCAGAAACTCCACGCCGCTCATGCGAACGACGGTGTCGTCAGGCTGGTGTTCCTTTTCCATGGTTAGCATGTACTGCAAACCCTGGCCGGCCGGCATCGCCACTACCCGCAGGGCGGAACCGCTTTCATCTTCGCCCTCCATCACTTCCTGGAGTTTCTCGATAGCCAGAGGCGTAACGTTCATTGTGGATGCTCCTGATGGCGTTTTTCGTCCCGGGAACCATTTGCCTGATTCCCAGCATTTCATAATGGCTCAGACTAACATGCGGCGAGTCAAACCGTCAATTGAACTGCCGTCAATCTCAGGGCAATCGCGTTTTGATTCTATTGCTCTCGTCTTTCCCGCGCATCCCGAGCCTGTCCAAGGCACCCTCTCCCTTGAGGGGAGAGGGTTGGGGTGAGCAACTGTGTTCAATGTCAGGGTGTAGTGGTTTGAGGGTTCCAGTGTTGGCCCGACTTGGCCATGCTGTTGAGGATGGTAAGTAGCTTGCGCATACACGCGGTGAGGGCCACTTTTTTTGCCTTCCCAGCCGCCACCAGTCGCTGATAGAAGTTCCGGATCGGTGGGTTGTGCCGGCTGGCCGACAGGGCTGCCAGGTAGAGCACACTGCGCACCTCTCTTCTGCCGCCCCATACGCTACGTCTGCCCCGCAGGGTTCCGCTGTCTCGGTTGAACGGCGCCACCCCCACCAGGGCCGCGATCTCCTTCCCGTTCAACCGCCCCAACTCGGGCAATCGGGCGATGACGGTGGCGCAGGCTACCGGCCCAACCCCGGGTACGCTCTGCAACATCTTGGCCCGCTCCTGCCACGCTGGGTTGGCGCGCAGCAACTGGCTAATCTCCTGCTCCACCTCCCCCAATTGCTCTCCCAACCACTCGACATGGGCTGCTATGCCCGATCGTACCCGACCACCAGCCCGCTGCAACTGGTTCTTCTCCATGGTCAGCATCTTCACCAGCTGGTGTCGACGCGTCACCAACTCCTGCAACTCCCTTTGCGCGGCATCGGGCAACTCCCGCAGCGGCGGGTTCACTCCGGCCCCAAACTCGGCCAACACTCTGGCGTCCAACCGGTCCGTCTTCGCCAACCGTCCCGTGGCACGGGCGAAGTCCCGCACCTGGCGCGGATTCACCACTACCACCGGCAACTGGGCCGCCGCCAACTCCGACACCACCGACACTTCCAACCCCCCAGTGGCTTCCAGCACTACGATGTCCGGCTCCAGCGCCTGCAACTCCGCTACCAATCCCCCAACTCCTACTGGGTCGTAGCTCACCTGCTGACTCACCCCCGTGGGGTGGGCGTACAGGTCCAGTACCGCCTTACTCACGTCGATCCCTACCCTTGTCTTCACCGAGTTCATCCCTTATCCTCCTCTTGTCCTGGCTTGGTCCAGCCTTGTAGATGCGGGGTCTTACCCCAAGCAACTGTTCGGACTCTCCAGGGCTCCGGCGCGGCGACCCCGCTCACCCACGGTTTCCAGCAACCCAGGGTGTTTCGGTCTGCCGCGCCTCTACTTAACATACAAGGGTGAACCCCCGCGCATCCTGAACCCACCGCCCCCGCGCATCCTGAGCCTGTCGAAGGATCATCCTGGGCCTGTCGAAGGACCACCCCTCTCCCGGTGGGAGAGGGGCCGGGGGTGAGGGGCGTACCCACCTCCAACGTCCCGCGCATCCTGAGCCGTTGCCACTGACGCCCTGACGTGGCAAACTCATGCATCATTGCCAACCAGCGCATCCTGTCAGCCACCACGAGGACAACATGACCCAGCAGCTTCCCCCCGAGGTTCTGAACCTCATCGATTCTGCACTCACTGAAGACCAAGCGTTCAACGATCCAACCACCCAAACCCTCATTCCCGGCCACGTAGTCGGTAGCGGCGTCCTCCGCGCCAAGGCCATCGGAGTACTGGCCGGCGGGCAGGTCGCCGCCGCCGTCTTCCACCGCATCGACCCACAGCTGGACATAGAGTTCCTGCTGGATGACGGCGCCGCCCTGGATCCCGGACAGGATATCGCCACCGTTTACGGCCCGGCCGCTTCCATCCTGCGCGCCGAACGCACCGCCCTCAACTTCATCCAGCGGATGAGCGGCATCGCAACCGCCACCAACCATTACGTAAACGCCGTGGTTGGCACCAACGCCCGCATCGTCGACACCCGCAAAACCGCCCCCGGCCATCGCTATCTCGACAAGTACAGCGTCCGCATGGGTGGCGGATACAACCATCGCCTCAATCTGGCCGATGGAATCCTCATCAAAGACAACCACCTGGCGGCCCGCGCATCGTTGGAGGAACCGCTTGGCGACGTGGTTCGCCGGGCCATATCCCTGGCGTCCCATACCATCCGCGTCGAAGTTGAGGTCGAGTCCCTGGAACAGGTGCATGAAGCGGTGGCAGCCGGCGCACATATCATCATGCTCGACAACATGCCCGTCACCATGATGCAGGAAGCCGTTGGCATCATCGCCGGCCGCGCATCCATTGAAGCATCCGGCGGTATCACCCTGGAAACCGTGCGCGAAGTCGCCGAAACGGGCGTCGACCTCATCAGCATCGGCGGCCTCACCCATTCCCCCGACGCCCTCGACATTTCCCTCGATCTCGAATTCCCGCAATAGCCGCCCACACCCCCGTCCATCCTGAGCCTACCGCCCCGGTTCATCCTGAGCCTGTCCAAGGCACCCTCTCCCTTGATGGGAGAGGGTTGGGGTGAGGGTGAACCCCCGGCTCATCCTGAGCTTGTCGAAGGATCGTCTTTCCCGGCGAAAGCCGCAACGACGACGGTGCAATTTATGATGCGATTGCCCTGCCCTCTATCGGTTCAATTGGACACCGACCAGCGCTAGCGGTATATTTCTTCGCGCAGCGTCCATATCCACCCATCCAACCCAAATACCAAGGAGCGAGCAATCATGGCCCGACTTACCGACGTTACCCGAGATCAACTGCCGGCCGAGCATCAGCAGTTCTTCGATTCTATCGCCAGCAGCCGCGGCAGCGTCCGCGGACCCTACGGTGTGCTCCTGCATAGCCCCGACCTGGCCGCCCGGGTCGCCCATACCGGCGCCTTCGTCCGCTTCGACCTTGATATCACCGAAGCCCAGCGCGAAATAATCATCTGCGCAACCGCCCGTGAAATTGGCCAGCAGTATGAGTTTTCTGCCCACGCGCGCCTGGCTCGCCAGGCCGGTGTATCCGATGAAACTGTGCGGGCCATCGCTACCGGCAAAGCCCCTGAGGGCATGACCGGCATCGAGGAGTCCCTGGTCCAATACGTGCAGGAACTCTTCCGCAACCACAAAATCAGCGACGAAACCTTCAACGCCGTTTCAGATCATTTCGGAACCGAAAGGACAATCGGCATCACCGCCCTGATGGGCCATTACCTGTTGGTGGGCCAAGTCCTCTCGGCCTTCGAAGTCGAACTTCCCGAGGGCGTCCAACCCGAAATCACCTAGCCAACCTCCCGTTCATCCTGAGCCTGTCGAAGGACCCCCTCCCTTGATGGAGACTTTTGCATAAATGGAGGCTATGGTTAAAAATAGAGGTTAGAGACAGGTGGGAGGGAGCGGAAATGCATCGGATAACGAATCGGGCGTCGTTGGTGGAAGTGTTATTGCCGGCAGGGTTGGACGCAATGATCGATTGGAAAGGATCAGTAATCTGCTGGACTGGAGTGCGTTGGAGGGGATGCTCTCTGGGGTGTATGCGGCACCGAAAGGACGGCCCAGCTATCCGCCGTTGCTGATGGTGAAGGTGCTGTTGTTGGAGCAGTGGTACAACCTGTCGGATCCGGAGATGGAGGCAGCCCTGGGAGACCGGTTATCATTCCGTCGGTTCGTGGGGTTGGGGCTTGAGGATGCCACGCCGGATCATTCCACCATCAGCCGGTTCCGCAAGGAGTTGACCCAGCGGGGGCTTGGGGAGGCGCTGTTTGGGGAGGCGGGGCGCCAGTTGGAGGTGCGGGGCATGGTGTTGAAGGAAGGGACTCTGCTGGACGCCACCCTGGTAGAAGCTCAAGTGCGCAAGCCCCCCGCTGGGTCGGGGTTGGGGAGCCGCAGCGATCAGGACCCGGACGCGGACTGGACCCGCAAGTACGGGCGCTCCTATTTTGGTTACAAGGTGCACCTGGGGGTGGATAAAGGCTCAGGGCTAATCCGCCAGGCCGTACTGACCTCGGCCAAGGTGTCGGACAGCGAGAACGCCGCGCCGGCACGGGCCGAAGTGCAGGCTCGCATCGGCGCCATGACCCGAGACGAGGCGCTGGCATGTCTGTCTGCCGGCGATGTGCCCTGCGCTCCGGTGCGCACCGTCCCTGAAATTCTGGCCGACCCGCACTTCCGCGACCGGGGGGCGCTGCGACCCATGCGCAACGCCGCGTTCGACGGCGAGGTGGACGAGGTCGTTGCCGGATTTCCGGTGCTGTTCGATGGCAAACCGCTGCCCGATGTTCCCGGCGCCCCGTCGCTCGGAATGCACAACGCCGAAGTCCTGGCCCAGCTGTGCGGCATCGACGACGACGGCCTCACCCGGTTGCACTCCGAAGGAGTCATCTAGGCCCACCCGCCCCCACCATCCCGTTCCCTGCACCGGCCCAAAATCCTGTCCATCCTGTCCATCCATGTCGCATTCGGCTCCCCTCTCCCGCCGGGGGTGAGGGACGTACCCACCCGTCTGTCATTGCGAGGAGCGCAGCAACGTGGCAATCCCGTAACACAACTACATCAGCTAACCCGCCCCAACCCACAGGAGGAAGCCACCGATGGCTCGCATTAATACCAAACCGCTACGATCCGTCATGTTTGTGCCCGGCAACAAGGAAGACTGGATGCGCAAGGCTCCTCAATATGGCCCCGATGCGCTGATCCTTGACCTGGAGGACTCGGTTCCCGAGTACGACAAGGAATCGGCGCGACCGCTGGTGGGCAAGATGATCGACGAGCTGGCCGCCCGGGGGCAAACCTTGTTCGTGCGTGTCAACCGTCTGGAAACCGGCCTCACCGGATTCGATCTGGAAGCCGTCACCCGTCCCGGTCTCTACGGCATCCTGCTTCCCAAGGTGGAGACGCCGGCGGACGTGGTTGAGGCGGACGTACTGCTGCGGTACTTCGAGCGCAAGGCTGGCATGGAACTCAACACCGTGTGTATCGATCCGGGACTGGAAACCGCGCAGGGCATCCGCATGGCCTATGAGATCGCGATGGCGTCCGATCGCGTGGCCCACATGGGCGGCAGTGGCGGCAAGGGCGGCGACACCGCCCGCAGCGTCGGGTATCGCTGGACGCTCCAGGGAGCGGAAACGCTGTATCTTCGCAGCAAGGTCCTCGTCGACAGCCGGGCAGCCGGCATCCAGTGGCCGATTAGCGGCGGCTGGTTCGACATCCGCGATCTGGACGGCCTGCGCTTCTGGGCCAACAACCTGAAGGCCCTCGGTTACACCGGAATGAACCTGATCCATCCATCCCACGTGCCGGTGGTCAATGAGATTTTCACCCCCACCGCCGAGGAGATCGCCCACTGGCAGGGTCTGCTCGAAGCAATGGAGCAGAGCCGTCGGGAAGGCACCGCTGCCGTCACCTACGCCGGCGACATGGTCGATGTGGCCCACGAGGAAACGGCCAAGGCCATGCTGGAAATGTGCCGCCGCCTGGAGCTGGTATAGAAGAGTCCCCTCTCCCTTGATGGGAGAGGGCTAGAGCCTGCCCCGTACTTGATACGGGGGCGAGGGTGATCATCCCCTCTCCCTTGATGGGAGAGGGCTAGGGTGAGGGTGAACCCCTTCCCTGCAACACTGCCAGGATTTTGTCCATCACGCCATCCTCATTCGTCATAACTTCGTTGTTCCAGAACCGCAAAACTTGGGATCCTTGGGATTCCAACCACTCAGTTCGGGCACGGTCGTATTGGATACGGAGCTGATGTTGCCCTCCATCCACCTCGATGACGATCTGCTGATCAAAACAAACAAAATCGACGATGTACCGCCCTATAGGAGCTTGACGGCGGAACTTGTGGGCAGTCGTATCGCGGGAGCGGAGCAAACGCCACAGCACACGCTCGGCGTCGGTGGAATTGCGTCGCAGTTCTCTGGCGCGTTGGCTGGGACTCGCCATTTTTCACCCTCACCCCAGCCCCTCTCCCATCGAGGGAGAGGGGGAAACCACCCCTAAAACTCCTCTCCGTTCGCCCAGGATTTGATCAGGTGGTGGGCGATGGCGATCCGGCCGGGCACCGTCAGCTGGTCGCTCTCACCGTCCAGAGCCTTCAACACCTCCGCGCGATCAAACCACTTCACGTCGGTCATCTCCACGTCGTCCATGTTGATGTCCGTGGTGTCGGCTTCGGCGATGCAACCGATCATCAGGGATGACGGAAACGGCCACGGTTGCGACGAGTGATAACGCACGTTCTTGACCCGAATGCCGGCTTCTTCCATCACTTCCCGCGCCACCGCTTCCTCGATGCACTCGCCCTGATCCATAAAGCCGGCCAGCGCCGAGTACGTCCGCAACCGTGCCAGACGCCCGCGAGACTGCCCCAGCAGGCACCGGTCGCGCGCCACGTCCACCACCACCGTGATGATAACCGGATCGGTGCGGGGGAAGTGGCTGGCGTTGCAGCCTGGACACTGGCGCACCTGACCGCCGCGCCCCTTGTTGGTGGCATGTCCGCAAATCGAGCAGAAGCCGTGCCGCAGGTTCCAGTCCAGTTGGGCGCGGGCCTGAGACAGCATCCCAGTGTTGGGACCCGACATCGATTCGCCGGCCGTCCGGCAGTCCTCGAAATGCCAGCCCGTGGCATCCTGCACCCGGTCGGCGTCGGACTCAGACCTGGACAGATCAACGGCGAAGTGCGCCACGTCATCCAGCAAACCCAGGAAGATCCACTCCGCATCCGGCGGCAGCGGTTGAATCTGCTGAGTGCGGACCCAACCCAGCTCCGGGGGCACGTCGTCGGTCAATAATACGTTCAGATTCCGAAACGGCAGGAACTTGCTGCGGGCGTCAACTGCCTGAACGTTGATCCATTCTTCGTCCCGGCGTTCCACCTCACCCCGGTTCAGCGGGTTATCGGCAAATATGTGCGGTTCTCTCATCAATTGCTTACTCTCCAGGGTGGTATTCGGAAGCAGGACTATGCCGAAGCAGACGGATACTCGGGACGGCGCCGTTCACGCAGGGCGGCCAGCCCCTCCTTCACGTCGTCGCCGAAGAAACCCAGCGCCTCTGCGAGCAGTGAATAATCGAAGGACGTGTGACCCGCCTGTCGCAGCCACTGGTTCAATGCCCTCTTGGTGAAGCGGATAGCCGGCTGCGGGCCGTCGGCCAGTCGCCGGGCGATCCGCATGGCGGTTTCCATCAGTTCGGTCCGCGGCACGCACATGCTGACCAGGCCGATTCGCTCCGCCTCCTTGCCATCCAGAAACTCGCAGGTCAGCAGGTAGTACTTGGCCTTGGCCATTCCGCATAGCAGGGGCCAGATGATTGCCGCGTGGTCTCCCGCTGCAACGCCCAGCCGGATGTGGCCGTCGGTAATGCGGGCGTCTTCGGCGGCAATGGAGATGTCTGCCATCAGCGCAACCGCCAGACCCGCACCCACTGCAACGCCGTTGATGGCCGAGATGATGGGCTTGTCCAGATTCAGGATGTTATAGACGATATCGCTGGCTTCCTGGGTGTTCTGGGCAATAATAGCCGGGTTGTCGATGGCCTGCTCGATCATCTCGAAGTCGCCGCCGGCGGAAAACGCATCGCCGGCGCCGGTAACGACGGCCACCCGCACTTCGGGATCCGCCGCAATGTCCAGCCAAATACGGCTCAGCTCGTTGTGCAGGCGAAAATTGGCGGAGTTCAGCGACTCGGGGCGGTTCATCGTAAGCGTCATGATGCCGTCGGCCTTCTCGATCAGCAGATGTTGGTATGAAGAATAGTCAGTCATATAAATTCCTTACTCCCTCTCCCCTCGCGGGAAAAGGGCTGGGTCAGCGTGATCCCCCCGCTCATCCTGAGCTTGTCGAAGGACGCCCCCTGTGATTGCGAGGAGCGTAACGATGTGGCAATCCCGGCTTGAGCATGAGGGCGGTCGCCGCGATACCCCCATGGGTCGCGGCCCGCCCTTGCGATTGCCAAGCTGCCCCCTCTCCCCGGGTGGGAGAGGGTTGGAGCCTGCCCCGTACTTGATACGGGGGTGAGGGGCATACTCCCTTCGTCAACGAGTCGGCTACCAAACAACTTGAGCCTCTTGCAGGTTGTTCAATTCCGCCTCGTCCATGCCCAGCAGGCCGCAGAACACCTCGCGGTTGTGCTCCCCCAGGTCGGGCGTCCAGCGGTCGACTGCGGCCGGCGTTCGCGAAAACCGCCAGGGCGGAGCCACCGCCCGCTGCTCGCCCTTGGTGACGTGCGTAACTACCGGAAAGGCGTTGCGTTCGGTCAGATGTGGGTCGTCCAGCAACTGATCGGCGGACAGGGACGGGAAAGCGGCAATGCCCGCCGCCTGCAGCAACCCGGTGACCGATTCGGCGGTCAGGTTTCGGGTCCATTCCGACAAATGCTGCTCCAGCGCGTCCTGGTTCCGCCAGCGCAAAAACGCATCGCCGTAGTCGTCGGCATCGGCCCAGGCGGGATTACCCATCGCCCCTTTCAGCGCCCTCCATTCGGAGTCGCCGCCCACCGCAATCGTCACCCACGCATCGTCGCCGCGGCACGGGAACACGCCGTGAGGAGCCATCGCGTCGTCCCGATTGCCCTGGCGTACGGCGTCGCGCTGGTTCATGGTGATATCCATCAGGGCGTGGCCCATGAAGGCGGTGGCGATATCCCGCACGGCGACGTCAGCGCGCTGTCCAATCTGGTGGCTGCGATGAGCGCACAGGGCGGCGACGGCGGAGAATGCCGCCATCATGCCGCCCGTGTGATCCATGGCGTGGCGCAACTCTACCGGCGGGCCGTCCGGGTATCCGGTCACGTATCCCAGGCCACCCAGGGCGGCAAACATGGGAGCGTAGCCGGCATACCGCGCTTCTGGCCCCGTCTGCCCGTTGGAGGACAACGACACCATGATAACGTCGGGTTTGATCTCACGCAGCTGCGGATAGCCCAACCCTAAACGATCCATCACGCCGGGACGAAAATTCTCCAGCACGACATCGGAGATGCGAACCAGGTCGTAGGCAAGTTCCAGCGCCCGCGGTTCCTTGAGATTCAGCGTAACCGAACGCTTGCAGGCGTTGACCTGCTCGAAGGACGACGGCGGCTTTCCGTACATGGCATGGGGCCGCCGCGTAATGTCCAGGCGCGCCGCAGATTCCACCTTGATGACGTCGGCGCCCAGCGACGCCAGGATCATGCCGGCGAAGGGGCCGGCGGCGTGAACCGAAAAGTCGGCGACGCGAACACCGGAGAGGGGAGCGGTGTTAGTTGTCATATTCCTGGTTTCCCTGACATTTGGTTCCCCCTCTCCCCTGGTGGGAGAGGGCCGGTTGGCAATCTCCTCCCGGAAGGGAGGGTTGGGGTTGAGGGGTGGACTCCCTCTCCCCTGGTGGGAGAGGGTTGGAGCCTGCCCCGTACTTGATACGGGGGTGAGGGGTGAAGCCTCAGTAATAGACGGCGGCGCCGGTGCCGCCTCCCGCTGCGATCAACTCGCCCGTGATGGCCCAGGCCTTGTCAGAGGCCAGGAACGCGGTGAGGTAGCCAATCTCGGAGGCGTCGACCATGCGGCAGATGTGGTTGCCGCGGCCTGAACCGGGCAAGAAGTCCTGCTGTTCGGCCTCTTCGGGAGACACTCCCAACTGCTCGGCGCGGGCGGCCAGCAGGCTCGGCGTTCGCTCGGTGCGCGTCGTGCCCGGATGGATGCAGTTGACCGTAATCCCGAACTGCCCCAGCTGGGTTGCCAGCGTCTTGGTCATGTGAACCATCGAGACGTTGCGCGCGCCGCCGCTCAGGTTGCCGGCGTTGCGGGCGTTTAGCCCGCTGATGTTGATGATGCGGCCGTAGCCCTGTTCTTTCAGCAGGGGAATCGCGGCCCGTGCACAGCGCAGGGCGCCCATGAATTTCACGTCGAAGTCGCTCATCAGGTCTTCATCAACCAGCCCTTCGATTGGTCCCGTGGCGGACGGTGAGCCGCCGGGCAGGGACGCGCTGTTGACCAGTATCTGCAAACCGCCCAACGCCTGGGCGGCGTCGTTGATGACCCGGTCAACCTGGTCGCGCTGCGTGGCGTCGAATGACATCGGAATTATGCGGCGACCCGTAAGCTCACTGATTTCGGCAGCAGCCTTCTCCAGGTCGGCCATCGACCGCGACGCCACCACCACGTCCGCGCCCTCGCGGGCCAGTTCCAGCGCGATGGCCTTGCCGATGCCACGGCTGGCCCCGCCCACAAAAGCCTGTTTACCTTCCAAACCAAAATCCATTGGATAGCCTCCCTGTTGTCATTCTTCGGTATCTGATCGCTCGGTACGCGCGGCACCGCAGTATTCTCATCGGTAACGGCGGCATTTTACCATGATCAGCCACACCACTTTGCCCCGCCCCGCGCATCCTGCCCATCCATGTCGGATGCGGCCCCCTATCCCTTGATGGGAGAGGGTTGGAGCCTGCCCCGTACTTGATACGGGGGTGAGGGTGAACCCCCCGTTCGTCCTGAGCCTGTCGAAGGACCCCCTGTCCATCCATGTCGGATGCGGCCCCCCATCCCTTGATGTGAGAGGGTTGGAGCCTGCCCCGTACTTGATACGGGGGTGAGGGTGAAACCCCCGCCCAGCCGGAAACCGTAGACGCCGAATTAAATCGCGCCGGCCCGGGCCAGGGCCGTCAGCTCCGCCGGGGAGTAACCGAGCAAACCCCCGTACACCGTCGCGTTGTGTTCCCCAAGCAGCGGCGCGCGGGTCAGCACGGTGGGTGTGCCGTCCAGTTGGAAAGGTGCGCCGGCATATTCCAGGGCGCCGGTTTCGGGATGATCAACGGCGGCGAAATAGCCGCGTTCCCGCTGCTGCGGACTCGTAAACACCTCGGACGGCGTGTAGTAGGGCGCGATCGGAACCCCGTGGGCCTGCCCCTCGGCATATAGCCACTCCCTGGAGTGCTGCGAGAACCAATCGCGCATGTGGCGGTTCAGCTCCGGCCCGTGGGTTGCCGGGTCGCTGAACATATCCGCCGACGCCCACTCGGGATTCCCCATAAACGCCAGCAAACTCTCGAACTGGCGCGGTTCCAGCGTCAGCAGCTCCACGAATCCATCGGACGCCGGCAGTACGCCGCCGACTCGAAAATACCGCGAGAATCGGGTTTCGGTGATGCCCTCCGATTCGTGGCGTTGGATGGGCATGTAGCCCACCGACAGCTGGGCTTCCTGACCCGAAGCATCAACCACCTGACCGCGTGCGTCGCCGTCAGCGTTCAGTCGGTGGTACACGGCGGCAACTGCGCCCACCGCGGCCGTGAGGCCAGCCTGGTAGTCCCCCATGTTGGCCCCGGCTACGATCGGTGGCCGGTCGGGGAAGGTATCCAGCGCCACCCCGTTGGGCAGAAGCCAGCCCTCGCCGCCAGCGTGGAACGTTGCCAGATGCCCGGCGCGGTAGTTGGCATACGCTCCGCTGGAGCCAAATGGCGTTACGGCGGTGACAATGATGTCCGGATTGACCGCCAGCAGCGAATCGCCGTCCAGACCCACCGCGACGGCAGCCGCCGGGCTGTAGTCATGGACGACCATATCAACGTCTGCGACCAACCGATGCAGCAGGTCGCGCCCCGAGGCGTCATCCAGATTGAGCGTTACGCTCTGCTTGCCCGTGTTCAGATACAGGTACAACCCGCTGCGTTCGGGATGAGGGTCATCCTCCGGAAACGGCCCCCGCCGGCGGGAACCGTCACCGGTAACAGGCTCCACCTTGATCACCCGCGCCCCCAGCGAAGCCAAAAGCTTGCCGCAATACGGCCCGGCGATCAGCGACGCAACCTCCAGCACCCGAAGGTTCGCCAACGCAGTGGGTGGAATGGGATTGTCGGTGGTCATGGAGGCTCGTCACATCAATGTCGGGTTACAGCATGATCGGCGGACCGAATTCGCCATCCGGCCGTTTTTCGATCCGCTCATTCACCAGGTCTACGTTGAAACCCAGGTCCTGCAGCAAACGATACCCTACCACGGGCATGGGCGCCGGGACCGCTCCGTTCACGAAACCGGTCCCCTCCAGCATACCCACCGCGACGTAGATCGGAGTATCAATCACGCCGTTGCCTGTCATTATCCGGTCCGTCGCGTTGGGAACGATATCCAGTTCCAGCGCGTCGATATCCGCTGGCGGCAACCCGATCCAGGTCGCCCCGGTGTCCACCAGGAAATCGTACTCCCTGGCTTCGGTTTTTCCGGCGATGCTGCCTCTGGCGAAGGTAATCCCCATGATTCAATCCTTTTCGTAAGACGACGACCTATACCGGCAGGATGGGCGGCGCCTCCTCCGGAAGCGTCATGTCTCGCAGGGACAGGTGACTGCCGTCGGTGAACCAGGGGTTGTGCGGATCGCGGGACGGCAGCTGCACCGTGGCCATGCCGGGGGCGGTTATCTCGCCTCTCTGGTTTTCAGTCCAGATATCGACGTCGACCAGCGCGTTGCCGTTGTGGATGTACTTGCGCGCCACTCGCCCCTTGCAGAACTGGGTATCGCCGTACACGTTGAACCGCCGCGTCTCCACCCGCAGGCGCTTCAGGAAGGCATCGTCGCCCATCCAGTTGGTCATCAGCGTGGCCAGCCACGACACGCGCTGCGGGCCGTAATCGTAGGCGCCCGGCACTCCCACCGCCTCGGCGACGGAATCGCGCAGGTGCCCAATGCCGGTGTATTCCAGGCCGCCGCCGGACTCCGGATTGCGGAAGAAGTGGTCCGGATGCCGCATCGCCTCGCGCAGCAGCACGCCGTGGGCGCTGGAGCGTCCGGTGCCCACCAGGAACGCGCTGACGTCCTGCAAAGACAGCGGCCCACGCACCACGGGAGTCAGCTCTTCGCCCAGCTGGGTATCCTCCCAGTAGCGCGGCTGACCACCACGGGCGGTTTCACCCAGCACCTGCTCGTCTATGGCGGTCAACTCGGCGTCGGTATACTCGTGGCGCCTGGGGACATCCGCGTACTTGCCCCGCTCCCGTGAGGCCCTTCGCTGGTGGCGGGTGCACCAGCCCACGACGCGGGCCACCACCTCGTCCCGCTGGTTGGAGTAGGTTGTCTCCACGTACTGGATCACCAGCCGACCCGAGTAGGCGCTCTGCTTCTCCTGAACGTCCAGCACCCTTTCCACGCAGTTGACGGCGTCGCCGGGACGCAGCACGCGAAAGAACTCCCAGTCGTTGCCGGCAAAGAAGCCGTGGACGCCGGGCAGGCCCCAGCGGGTACGACCCGACCAGTGGCGCATATAAGGCGCGCAGGGGTGCCCGATGATGCTGCCATACTTGGAATAGGCGGCGTACTCCTGATCGCGAAACAGCGGATTGGCGTCGCCGATGCCGTTGGCGAAATTGATCATGGTATCCAGGGTGGCCTGTCTCACGTATTGCTCGGTGCGCATCCGCACGCCGATCATGGCGCGGGCGGCGGCCAGGGCCTCGTCGGATATTCCGCCCTCCACTTCAGGCAGGGTGTCAACTACTTGCTGATGCGTTTCCTGTTGGGTCATTGCTCGTCCTCGTTTTCAGATAGAAACATCGTCCAGGGATTTACCAATTACAAAAACCAGGGCCAACGACAGCATCTCTAAAACCATCCATCTCATCGGCCCGAGTACCAATTCCCTACCGGTTGCGTTGTCTTCGCGGAATAATATTCTCCCGACAGTTACCATTACCCCGGCATAACACACCAAAGCAACAACCACCAATCCAAACCGAAACCAGCGCAGCGTGGCTGTGGTGCCTGCATCCGAAAGGTCTATGCCCAATTTCACATCCGTTCCGAATAAACCAAACCCTATCGCCGCCGTTGCAATGGCCAGGATTGCAATTGCCAACTGATGGCGGTCAGGTGGCATCGGGGACAATCGCCGCCAGTGATGGACGGGAACCGTTTATAACAAAATCCATGCTACTGGGTTGATGGTCCATCCTCATCAAATTTGAGAGATTCGCGCCGGTCGCACCACCAACCATAAACAATAGTTCCGATTCCTATTAATAGAAACGCGATGCCGAATGCCAATGCTAATCCGATGCCCCCATTATCCCTTAGGTCCTCTCGGCGGATCAAAGTAATGATGATCAATGGAGTCATAATCGCCCCGATGATGAGGGGCGCTATGCCCAAATTGCCCAACATCCAAAGGTTGCTCTCTTTTGAAACCCTGGAGTAAGAAAATTTCATTTCGGATACCCCGTCACCTGGGAACGTCCAGACATCTGCAGGTCGCTTTTCCCCCGGAACCATTCCCGTTAATACACCACCTGCCGCTCTTCCAACTCGGCCAGCTCGTCCACGCCCAGCCCCAGCGTATCACACAGCACCTGCCGGTTGTGTTCGCCCATCAGCGGGGCGTGGCGGCGTACCGCCGACGGCGTCTTGCTGAGGCCCCACATCAGGTTGAATATCGGCTCGGCGCCCAGAGCCGGGTGGTCGATGTCGGCATAGAGGCCGCGCTCCATGAAGTGCGGATGAAACAGCCGTTCCTCGGCGCCCAGCACCGGCGCGGCGGCCACGCCGTGGGACTGCAGCAGCCCGGTGATGGCATCCGCGTCGCGCTGGGCCGTCCATGCCCCCAGCAATTCATCCAGTTCCTGCCGGTGTCGCTGCCGGCGATACTGACTGCCGAACCGGTCGTCGTCGGCCCAGTCGGGACTCCCCATCGCTTCCACCAGCCCCCGCCATTCCTGTTGCGATCCCACCGCGATGGACACCCACCGGTCTTCTCCGGCGCAGGCGTAGTGGCCGTAGGGCGTCATGGTCGGGTCGTAGTTGCCGCGGGGTTGCAGGGAGCGTCCGGTCAGGGCGTGTTCCATCAGGCCGACGCCTTGGGTAACCACCGTTGCCCGCAGCATGGACACGTCGATGTACTGGCCGGCGCCGGTCCGGTTGCGGTTGTGCAGCGCGGACACGATGGCAAATACGGCATGGAGCGCACCGCAGATATCGCCAAAAGCGTGCTTGAGTCCCAGCGGCCCACCACCCTCATACCCCATGGTGCTGTCGAGGCCGGACAGGGCGCCGATGGACGGAGCGTAGGCGCGCAGGTCCCGCAGCGGCCCGTCCTGCCCGGTGGACGATATGGACGCCATGACGATGTCGGGCTTGATTGCCCGCAGCGTTTCGTAGCCCAGGCCCAGCCGGTCCATCACGCCGGGCGAAAAATTCTCGATGACCACGTCGCAGCGTGCCACGAGGCGTTTGGCCAGTTCGACGGCATCCGGTTCGGCGATGTTGAGGGTAACGCTAAG